CTAACGCAACGTTGATACGCCATTGATAGGATCGTACATGCATTCGCGCGTATATTACGCGTGTTGCTTTTATAACCCGCGTTAATCCCCATCGTATTCGGACGCGTATCACTATGACTGATGTTTCTTTTATTGATAGAAACAAGGAAAAAAAAGAGAGCAAACGTCAGTTAGAAATTGAAAAAGTATGATAAAAATATGCGAAAAGTTAAAAATTTTTTTTAGATAGACTTTTAAATAGATCTTTTTAAATAGCGTTAAAAGCGAGATTTTTAAGATCTGGATAGTTTATGATGAACTAATTTCAATTATATTGAATCGAGAAATACGTTTTAAATATGTCAGTTTGGCGATGAAAATAGTTTCGACGATTTAGGTTTTGTCCGAGTGTAAAACGCGCGAATGCAAACTTCAAGAAAAATACAGCGATGTAAATGTCGACCGAGTACGTATGAGGATAACGTTTTTGCGGCACAGAAATGTGTTGTTTGTCCCAGAATTCTATCATACTATAAAGAAATAGTTCAAATTAAGACCACAATTTTTATCGTGCACGGTTAATTATTTTGCGACATTAAATGTAGTTTGCATTTTCTGTAAAAATTTTAATATAATTTAATTTAATAGATAGTATAATATATATAAGAGAGAGAGAGAGAGAGAAAAAGAGAGAGTTACTTATATGTATTATCATTGATTTTGTGACAGAAAAGAATATCCTTAATTATAATATGTGTTTCCTATAATAACAAAACAAATATCTTTATATATTTAACTACAATGTCGTCAGAATAGGATACTGTAATAACATTTTGCGATCTGATAATGTATGTCATTATTTGCTGCAAGTAGCTGGATCGATCAATGCGCCGACGCATGTCAACATAATTTATCAATGTGCACGTTTTACCCGCGTTTATTCTGTTTAGCATAAATAAAATATTAATTATAATCAAATTTTCAATTTTTTTGACACATATTCATTAAAAAAAATAATTGATGTATTTTTCTTAAAATCACTTAAATGTCCCGTGTAGCGGCAAAAAATATATTATATTTAATAAATCATATACATGCATTTTTTAATTGTCAATTAAAAAAAAAAATAACTTAGATTAAGATTATATATGACATAGTCTTATATATATCGAAGAAACAGAAATGAACATAATTCAAGCGATATCAAAGAAGAATTTCCAGTACGTTTTGTGAAATGTCCTAAATCTTGGCTCATCGCTATAAATGAATGGAGTGATAGCGAGTTGTAGGTGTCTAGATACGGTCGGCGCGCATTAAGTAAATTCTTTTTGCGAATGGTCTTCGAGGCGGGCGAACAATAAATTTTCGCAGACCGGACGTTTGCGAGTGTTCTCGTGTGTTTACGTTAACGACGGTAGGAGCGTTAAAGATGTAATAACATGCAAAAGAGAAAGAGTTCTCGCGTAAAACCTAATGGTCATACGACATACCAGTCGACTTGTAATCAGATAAACATCAAATGCCGAAGGCACACAGTCTATTATTATGAACTATTACCATCGTCTATTACCGCGTTGCATCACGTTTTTCTTCATGCTTCGTTTTAGTCGACGTGCGTTTATATTCAAGCACACCAAAGGTCTAGATTAAATAAGTCTAGCAAATCGCTATTTTTCTTTTTAGATTAACCAAATTTTTTTATAAAGGACGTTAATACAAACGGTTCCAAGGTAAATAATTTTACGATAGAGAAATTTTCTTCCAATTGTTGATATCTGTAAGTTTGCAAAAACAATATTTGGCCTTGTTTGACGTGACATGACTACATAAAAGAGCAAGAAGTCTCCATCGTAAGGCACGAAGAAGCCTCTCTTAAAACTACTGACTTCCATCGCTATATTTCCGATAACGAATGCATTGCACTATGTTATAAAAGCAATCGTGAACGTCTTTTGGCCAAGAAATACTGTATTCGCGAATGGTACCGAGCCTAGTCGGCGCACACAGTAGTCTAGATTAATTTCATAGCACGAAAATATTTCAAATATTTTGAAATCTTTTATTGAGATATTTTTTTAAGTACTTTATACCATCGTAAAAACATGTTAAAGTATTATAAATTACAAGTCCTTGTAGCTAATATTAACCTGTAGCAGCGATATAATAAGGAAATTTCGTTTATGCTTTTAACTATTAATATGCACTTTACCGGTACCGTTAATCGTTGCTATTTACATAAAACATGTTTTATCAATAATTCTCTGTTAAAATACTTAAAATTAAAATAAATAGACCTTCGAAAAATCTGGTCATGGCACGCTTTGTTCGAAAAAGTACACTTTTATAATATTTATGAAATATCGAATCTGAGAAAAGCGAGACTCTTTGTAATATATTAGCTTACTGAAATTTTATCATAGCCCGTTTTCCCGCACCCATCGTTCCTCCGACCGTTTGAAGCTCCGTTGCTGCTCAAGGACGTACCGTTGCGGACGTTTAAGTCGACCGGTCTATATATGCAAGTCGAGGACGCACCTGAGTAATGTTCGTAGACGACGGAGCTTGACATTTGTCATGGCAGTGCCTAGCGTGCCGGTTATTTCCCTTCCCTCCCGATTCTACCCTCCTGCCCTCCCCGCCGTGCCTGTCGTTGTATTCTGTTGCTTCTTCCCCTCCTAACCCCTGACTCAACTCATAATTGTTCGAGGGGACATATCGCTGGCGCGAGGGGGGAAAAGCATCGGAGACACGAAAGTGGTTATGCGCATTTCTGTTTAAGGGAAAAGAGAGAGAAAGAGAGAGAGAGAGAGAGGACAATGAAAAGGAGAAAGTGGAGTGGCGAAGGGTGAGTTAACAAGGGGAAACAGAAAGAGAGAAAGAGAGAGAAAAAGAAAGGCTCGTCCCCCTGTGTCTCACAACTGAATACTTGAATATTGATTAAGCATCGCGAGCACATCGCGATTACTGGGAACAGGTAAAAGCGCTCTTCTTGCGGGTCCGCGGCCTGCGTGTCTGCGGATATTTATGTGAAGCGGTGCTTCGACGATCCCTCTACTCGCCTCCATCGGGTAGCCCCCGTGCCTAACCCTCGCCAGCACCAGCCCGTCCGCGCGCAAGCTCCCGTCGTCCCAGACGGATAAAAAAGGTATGCCGGAAGACTCGGAAGATATCCGCTAACCATGAGACGTTTGAAATGATGAGAGCGCGGATGTACGGAGTACGTGCACGGTTGCTTGATTTACGATCGGCCTTCGCAGGATTATATCCTTCGATCGCGAGCCGCGAGCGAACGAACGCGCGTTGGCCTAGTTCGCTACCGGTCAACGATTAACGGAATAACGGGAAGCCATTTCTCAATTTGTTCCTGTTTCCTTCCTTTTTTTCTTTTCGCCTTCAGCGAGGTTACGAGGATGCAAGCGCGAATGTAAGAAAGCGTAGAATCAGCTTTAACGATTCCGTAATATGTATTCCGCGATGCTTTTATAAGACAATGAGATGGAAATTAATCGCAAACTATTATAAATGGACGAACGATACTTCTATTTAAATTAGACACAAGTAAGCCCCTCGGTCATAGTAAGTTGCTTCGATAGCGACAAAGATATTTATTAACAATCGAGTAGTTCTCGAGTACGTTTGAAATCGTGATTGTGGATTGTTCATTTTGAATGGAAGGATAATTATGAAATTGCGATAATGACGAAAAATACAAGTTTTGATATAAAATGTAACGTTGCATGTACGCGCAAATGTGTTAACGCCGACTCATTATATACATTGTATAATTTTCGGGAATAATTAGCCCACTGCCTCGAATTTCTGGCTCTCTCTCTCTATTATACAAACTATTGTTATAAAAAAAAAAATCATCGCTTATACATTGAAAAAGTTTCTGTATGTCATATAAAAAATTATTTTTACGTCATATTTTGCCAATTTGACGAACGTAAAGCACTCGTTAAAGCGATATGTTGATTTAAGTTACAATGCAAATGCTAGTCAAATAACTCTCATAAAACACAATTTATTTTATTATTCGACATTTTTTTGCTCTTCTCGTGGGGAAGGCGCGAGGATATAATTCACGGGCCGATACCGCCAAGCTAATTTACCCCGGCCGAACGCGCGCGGCCGTCTAATTAAGCTGGCTTTCGCACAACAAAGCGCGTACGTGTGGTCGCAATCGGGCGGGCTTTACAACATCGGCCAGCATCCGGCGCTTCCACGTTGTTGACCACGATCGTCCTCCACTCGAGGTGCAGGAAGCACCGGAAGAAGAGGACGCGCGGGATCGCGGAGAGAAAAAGCCCCTCGAGCTTTGAATATTCAGTAGGTATGTCCCGGCTCGCGTCTCGCAACTTCTCCCCCTCGTCTGACCTTATTTTTCTACGGGAAAAAAACTGCAGCTTCCGTCGTTACTTAGGGATTCGCCTCGCCGTTTGCGGAAAAGACACGTCGCCGGAAATTTGTGCCGACGCTCGCAGTTGAACGAGGGACAGACCTATTTGAATTAACATTCGAGTGCCAAGACGGGACGAGTCGCTAATAAACCGTCAGTCTCGATGAGCAAAGTTTTAACGCGGGGAAAATGTAGCGGAAGATAACGGCCGTATCGATTTTCCGAGTCGGTAGAACAGGTAACTAGTCTCTATACCCTGTACTCGCGAAATCTACATCCTAACTGATAAACTGACGATCGTAGATAAGCTGCAGGTCGTTCATAGACCATGATCTATGTTATCGCGCAGTCGATAAAACTGAAATTTCAGTTGGATAATTGATTTAATTTCGTTGAATATGTTTTTTAATAGAACTTTTTTATACTTAATATATATACATATATATATATATATTAAATAAATGATGGTAAATAAAAATAGATTTAATGGCAATGCGGCCATCTTTGCAGTTTCTATTGCGCAAAATTAAACAGATAATTTTCTGTTTAAATTAAGTCCCCCGTAATTTATTCTCATAGTGTCAATATATAATCTGTATTATAAAAAAATCGTGGTACTCACCGGGGTAGTTGCAGTCGTGTTCGTCGCTACCGTCTTGACACTCTTCCACAAAGTTGCATCGTTGAGATTCCAATATGCATCTGTTTACATCGCATGCGAATTCTCCAGCGCTGCAGCCTGTAAGATGTAAATTATTAACATCTTTGCAATGCACAATAATTTTACTTTAAAACTACAACGCTTTGTTTATGATTATCATAATGTGCTCTTTCAAACTTACACAAAAATACACAACTGTATATCGTATATAATAATGATAGCGTAACATTACAAAACACATATTACATATAAAATTTACCTTTTAACAGTGTTAGAGAGACGTACGATTTCATATTATTATTAGCATGCTGATTACATGCATCGATATGCAACAAAAATCTACGAATTTTATTGACATATATATATTTGTAAACGAATAAAACAGATAAATAAAAATTCTAAATATGTTTTATGATAATAATATACACATGCAATATCGTCTATTATGTGAAAAATGATAAATGTTTAGTAACCTAATTCTTAATTTTATCAATATTTGCTTTAATAATTGTGTGTATGTACGCGTACGCGCACATGTTTGAAACTACGGTCGCGCGGAGTTTATTTAACGAAACTGTCACACATTCACATCATTGACGGATGTACAGTATTTACGCATAATATTACGATTGCTTCATAGTTTTCTCGGTATTCTCGATTATTTGCAAACAATATTTTTGTTTATTAACTTAATTTCTCAATGATTTTATTAATATTTAACAACGCTTGCAAATATCAAGAATATCGAGAAAATTACCAAGAATTATGACCAGGTACATTATATCAGTAGTACAAACATAAAATAATTCCGTCAAACTAAACTCGAAGCGCAATCATAACACACACTCCAGATATTATTAAAGTAAGTATTAATAAAATTGTCAGAAAATTAAATTGTGCCAAAAATAAATATTGCTAGCAAGTAAACATATAAAATCAGAAATGTCAAAAAAAGTATCAAACAATTGTCGTTTTACAATATATACAGTATATCCTGTAGAAAGAACAATATTAAGTAAATTTCGTAACTTCACGCATTATTAAACGAATAAATGCTTAATATATGTATGAAAGACATTTTCATCGATCTAAAAAAAAAAAATTTTTGTGTGTTTCGGTAAAAACGTTAAAAACTTTTAAAATTTAAATCTTTAAAAAAATTGCCTCTCTTATTTCATTTTTCATATCATAGTGTTCAAACTTAGTAATTATACGTATGGAATATTGCTATAAATTCTAAAGCAGAGAATAACAAAAATTAATATATTATAAATTATATCATAGCATTACAATTATAAATTATACTCATTGTCCATAGTAACAATGCATATATAAAATCACTGCGTTGAAATACAATTATATAAAAAAAAATGAGATAAGAACAACGTTTTTACGTTAAAATGCATAAAATTTGTAAGTTTTAAGAAAATTCCAATATTAAACATTTATCTCGTTCTCTTCTGCCATCAACCGGCTCAACTTATACCTGGATGTGGACAGCCGATCTCGTCACCACCGTCATCGCAATCCGGAACGCCGTCGCACTGCTGCACCGAGCAGATGTGACGACTGCCGTCTTGACAGCGTACCGTGTCGTCGGCGCGACACATGTTTGATGATGACCTCAGTGTAGATACCTCATCTTCCCTATCGTCACCTTCGATGTCTGATACTTCTGGTTTTACATCAGAAGGTAAAATGCGTTCCTTCACGCTCGAATCTACCGGGAAATATCCTGAACGCCACGGTGACTCCACAGTGGTGTGCTCATCTATTGTTTCGTTTATCAATATGTTTCAATACCGGCGTACAAATATCATACACGTGTTAGTGAAATGCACGATTAAGCGAATAATAAATAAGATGCAAATGCTATTTTTCAACTTATTTTCAATATATATTGCTTGAAAACTTTTCAAGAGTATTGTTCTTATGCATTACAAAAAAAAAAAAAAAAATTTTTTTTAAATAAAAACAATTTTTTGTAAAAAAAACAAGCTTTGTTTTTTCTCAAAAAAATTTTTTTTTTCTCTAATATTTAACATCTTTATATTTTGATTATTACAAGTTGATTTTTCATTATTTTTAATTGTACAATATATTCATATTTTTCAACTATATACAATTTTTAAGAATACGATTCTTTTAATACCTATTCTTATGTAACGTTTCCTTCTCTAGCAATAACATTAAAAGAAATGTAGTCTGTCAAACGTGTACTATATACGCAGGCAAGTAAATTGATTATACGATATTCGCGAAAAACCTCAAATGTAATCTCTATCATATGCAGATCATCCGAGGTAAACAAATGGGGGACGAGATTCGGAGAGCGAGGCATTTAGCCGCGTGTG